AGAATTTTGACCACAAAACAGGAAAAATAGAGTAAATAAAAAAGGGTGAATTTCTGGGAGTCTCCATCAGAGAAAAGACTGAAAACTGAAGCTGCAGTTTATTTTTAAAAGTAGCCTCTCGTTTGAGCTGGAAGTGCTTCGAATGGCGCATAGAGACAAGAGGAAACCGGCCCAGTTAAGGCTTTAGTTAAGGGTCAGTGTGCGTTTGCCGGGTTTAGGATGCTAGAAGAACAACATGCTGAGAAATGCTGCGTTAGTAGGTTAGAGGTCTATCAGAGGAAGGCAGGAGGCAAAGAGGAGAAGCTCAAACCAGATTCCTGCTGAAGAGGTTGAGTATAAATGACCTTTTAAGCTAATTAATCCCCTAAATTGAGACGGGTTTCACTCAGAAGGAGAAGCTCCTCCGTTAGGAGTCCCTTATGGATCCACATCACTTTGGAGGTTCTTCTCCTAGTACCGTTCACTAGCTTCTCTTGGCAACTCATCATAAATTATTAATTTATTTCTAATTTATAAATTACACCTTAATACATTTTCGTCCAATTACCGAATTATCTATTAGACCGAATTACCGAAGCTTCCTGGAGGAAACGAGACCCAACTCAAAGCTCACTGCCCCTGTTAGTGAGGGTGAACCTGGGGTGAATCAGGGTCAAAATCCGTGGGAATTTGGTGTTAGCCACCATGGTATTAGCCTGATTTTGGTCAGGGCTAACAGCTCTGAAAAGTCGTTAGCTTTCATCAAAATTGGTTCTATTCGGTCCTGTGGGCTCAAGCAGACTAAATCTGAATATTTCTTGGTAGCCTCACGTCATATTTGGATATCAACACCCAGAAAATGTTCTGTCAGCAGATCTCCTGGAACGCTGTGGTCGCTGTGCTATAATATATTAAACTATTAAACATACAATTAACATAATACTATTAACATAATATTAAAAATGTTTTCAGTTCCTCTCACTTAGCAGCAAAACCACGTCATGCCTCCAACTAGTTCATAAAAATAAAGATAAACTGCAGGATAACATGGAGGGATGATGGATTTCCAACGAAAACGATTTTTTTTGTTGATTCCCCTTTTATTTTCTATGTATTTGATATAAAAAACGTCCTTTGCTGACACGGAGCTGAGCGCATGACGGGCTAACAGCTTCTGATTTTCAGTATTGTACAGTACTGATTTAGTATTTTCGGACAGTAAAGCGTCGGGGGGCGAAAGGGGAGGAAACGGGTTACGACCCGACTGTGGCGAAGCGTGTTAGAAACTGCCGACGGTTAGAACAGCCTCTGGCTGCAGTCTGTAGGAAGCCAAGGATGGATGTCCAACTCCTCCCACATCCAAGTCGGCCATTTTGATTAGGTCATGTGACTAGCAGCTTTCTGAGGTGGAAATGAAAGTTTACTGTCTATACGAAATCGGAAGATAAACAATGTCCTAACCCTAACCCTGATCATGACCCTAACCATAATCCTAACCCTGACCTTAACCCTGACCCTGACCCTAAACCTAACCCTGACCCTAACCATAATCCTAACCCGGACCCTAACCCTAAACCTAACCATAATCCTAACCCTCCACCCTTCATAATTGTGA